AAAAGTCATTTGCTGTTACTCAGGCACTGTGCTAAAACTCAATTACGTGATCTTTAATCCTTTTAACAAGCCTAAGACTTGTGATATTCGTTTTTCCCGTCATTAAAATGATGCTCAGAGAGGGAGAGAGTAACTTGCCCACATTTACAGCTCTAGAAAATTAGGGAGCAAGGATCGAAGCTCAGGGCTGTCAAACCCCACTCTTCTTTTTTCCAGGTCAGTCTACTCTCCCCTAAATAAGCCATCTCTTCCCCCTCCCCACCCCCCATTACTCACACCCTGGCAATATTCCCTTTAAAGGGAGACTCAGAGCATCACCAAATAATAGTGTACAGCGTGCTAGAATTTACAGAGCATTTTTCTCCCTCACGGCATCTCTCATTTTTTTCTTAAAATCACCTTGAAAAATAGACAGGGCAGGTGTGTGAATCTGTGTTTTACAAATGAGGAAATTGAAATTCAAAGGTCTTGTTTGTGTTAGTTATTGATCGCAGAACTAGCGAGGGTAGTTGGTGTCAAAGAACTAGTTAACAGCAGCGTAAAGACTAGAGGCCTTTTCCTCTGATACCAGACCCTGTGCTTCTTGGGTTCTCTCTGCAAACCTCATGGGCCCGTAACTTCGGCTGCTGACTTCTTTCTACGTCCCCTCTGATGTTCCTTGTGAGAAGTCGAGCAGGCTTATTAGAAATTAAATATCCGATGCTCGAACTGATGAACAGGAAATGAGGCTGCTAATGCTCAGAGGAATGAAACCAAGATGCTTTTTTTTTTTTTTTTAGTAGAATTTTGGGCCAAGTGGCCTCTTTCTGTCCTTCCCTTCCCTGTGTCCTTCCAGTCTCCATGGAAACCCCAAATCAATGCAGCATATGTTGATTCATGTTTCTACTGTTACTAGGAAGCTACAAAGTGGAAATTGCTTTTAAAAGATTTGCGGAGAGCTTTAGAGTACTGACCAGAATTCAAATCTAATATCTGAATGACTGTTTTATTAAAAGCTTTTAATGTGGTATTATCCTAGGTAGTACGTTGATTAAATAAACACACAGGGGGGCATTTGGCAATGAACCTCCTCCATTACTATCATGGCTTTTAAAAATATTATATCGCAGACTTTAATTCCTTTTATCTTCAATTTAATTACATTTTTGGGGCCTGCGTGATGACACCAGGTGCTCCTTTGCTCTTGATTAATTCCACGTTGCCCTGACCGGGCTGTTGGGAATAATAGTTTGCAAATGCCTTAGGTGCCTGTGCCACTGCCTTTGAGTAGCAGTAGTAGGAGGCTGACCTTAGCTTCGACCTGGAGGCTGCAGAATTCTAATGTGCTTCTGCCATAAAGAATCTTTGGTAGTTTTCCAGAATTTTTTTTTTCATGAACTCAAAATCAAAGTCAGCCGATATTTATTAAATACCTGCTCCGTACGAGGCAAGGGGCATTGCTAGCAAGGGGAGTAAGTCATGGAATCTTTCTGGAGCATGTAGTCATTTGGGAGGTTCAGGAAACACATCACAAGGGCAAACTACAGACCGTGACGCGGGGCTGTCAGAGGACCACACAGCGGTGTGGTGGTGTTGGGATGGAGACGTTCCTTCTGATTGAGGAAGTTCTGAAAAAGCTTTGAAAAGGAAAATTTTTACCTTGGAGGTATTGGATTTTGAGAAGGAGCTGCGAGTACACACACACACACACACACACGCACGCACGCGCGCGCGCGCAATTGGACAGGTAAATGGGACCAAATTATTGGACTGTCAGGCAGGACAAGGTGCTGCAATGGAGTCCATTAAAGATGATTATATAGATGACGCGGAGGCAGTGGCATCTGCGGGATCTAGAGGGGTGGAGCTGTCAGACGTCTTAGAGCAGCCGTGTAGAGCTCAAGACAGGCAGGACCAAAACACTGATTCTAGAGAGAAGCAGTGGCTGGTGCCCGAAGAAGTGGGTTTCCCAGGAGGGTGAGTGCAGACTGGGAAGAGCAGAGAGGGGCAGGGCAGCTTGCGAAGCCAGAGCAGGGCTCGTGATGACTGTTTTAACTGGGAAAAATCATGCACTGCAGCCAGTGGAGACATCCTGGTCCCAGTCTGCAGCCAGCGAGTCAGGAGCAATCACCAGCAAAGGGTCCGAGCTCTGTATCCCTGGGCCGGGCTTCAAGTCCAAGTAGGTGAGTGCCTTTCTCATTAGCACTCCAACCTGCTTGCCTTTTCCCATCCCTCTCCTTCAGGAAGGGAGGCCATGCTAGAATGCCTACCCCCTCGGTTCAGCTTAATTTACCCCCTGGAATTCTTTATGCACCTGGCTCTATAGGAAGGGAGATTAAGGTAGAGTCCTCCCCTGAGGGGGGAACTGTACTAGGTCTGTGCTTCTCAAACTAGGGTGCTGTGTGGTTACTCCTTGCTGTCTAGGATTGTTTGGGTTTAAAACATGTCTGGACCAGTTTTAGTTTTCTCGTTTTCATTCATGCTAGATGCATGTCCACACACCCTTGTCCCTCTGCTCTTTACATCTCTGTTCTTTCTTTTAAAACTGTATTGTCATATTATTCTTTAAATGTTTTGGTCGGTTTATTGACTTCCTGTTATTGCTCCGAAGGCTAATTGAAGAGGCCGATGCCTGGTTCAGGTCAATCGGCCTCCACCTGAGACTTGGGCCCATCCGCAGCCCCACCCTGTCTCCTCAGGGCCTTTAAACCCTGGGTGCCAGGCCGGGCAGCACGAGACTCGCAGAACACCTTTACCCACCCCTTTAGCACTGTTGGAGGAGTCACTGACGACACCACCTTTGCGTTAAAGCACAGGGCCGAGCCGAGGCTGCAAGCACTATGTGTGGGATCCCACACCAGCTCTGCCACTTATAAACGGCTCGTCTCCGTTTCTCCACTGTAAAACAGGGATGATGAAGATGTAGGTCTCGTAACTTCGTTGTGAGAGTTAAAGACAATAATGCAAGGGCAGTGTGTAGCACGGTGTCTGGCACATACTGAACGCTCATTAAACGTTAGCTTTGTGAATGGAATCCGGGGCGGGTCCACCTCATGGTGTAAATTCATCGTAGGTTAGGGGAGTGCTGCCCAATGGGCTTTTTTTTTTTTTTCCGCCAGTTTACCTGTGTGCCTGTTTCTTACGGTGTAGTGTGCCAGAGAAATGTCCAGAAGTGAAGGATTCTCTTTATATCTGAATTCTGCACCTAGCTTGCATCGAGGTTAAAGACAGGGGTTACAGGAATGGAAAACACTTCTTTTGCATCTCATTTTACCACCCAAAGTTCCCTTTACCTAACAGAGAGGCACTGTGGACATTTTCAGAGAGAGACAATGAGTCACTGTGGAGGCAGCATCAGAATTTTGATTCATCCTATCATCAGGCGACGTGTGGTGGTGGCAGAACCATTTCACTGCGAGAATTCAGGTTATGCACCAATAGCTCTGCCAGGAAAGACTGGGACCCGGCATGACGTGGTAGAAAAAGCTCTGCTGTAAGTCACAAGAAAACGAGTTCTGGGCTTCGAGCTGCCTCTTAGGTATCGCGCCACTCAGGAATAAAAAAAAACCTCGGTTTGCTCATCTGTAAACAGGGATAATAACACTGTCTCTGACTATGGCTTGGGTTTGTGGAGTGAAGACACAAGAAAATGCTTTCTACGTTGTGAAAGGTTTACCAGATGGAATCGAATACCTTTATGAAAAAGCCATCAGTTGCCACAGAGATGTCTGCTGCCTCTAGCAAATATTGTCTTCTGGGTTTCAGAAATGCCCTGCAGCAAAGGCTGGGTGCATTTGGAGCTAGTTCCAGCCTTAGAGACCTAGAGCGGAATAAGGAGGAGCTAAGCTTTATCCCAGGACAGTAAGTTTGCAAACTTGAACGTGTGTGTATCAGAATCACCTGGAAGGCAGGGCCCCATCTCCAGAGTTTCTGAGTCTGTAGGTCTGGGGGTGGGGCCTGAAAATTTGCATTTCTAAGGCATACCCAGGTGATTCTGATGCTGCTGGTCCAGGGACCACACTCAGAGAATGACTGCACTAGGGGGAGCGGGAAGAGGGAGTCCTCCTCCTGACATGAACAGGCAGTGTGAAGTTCCATGTGGGTAAGGCGGTTTGGAAGAAAACACGTAGCAGACAGAAAAATAGGGATAATGTGCAGATTGGGCAGAACAAAGGGAAAAGTCTCACTCTGTAACAAATGCAAGGAGGGGGAAGTTGCTAGGTGATGGATGAGGGAGAGAGGTGAATTTCCACTGAAGGAAAAACCAGGTGAGGGGCAGGAGCGCAGAGTTGGAAATAGACATGTTTGGGGAGGTGGAAATTTCTCATTAAGAAGTGAGGAGTGGTGTGGTTGGGGCCGAGGGGTGGGAGTGGAGAAATGCCTCTGTAGAGTAAGGGGGAGAGCT